CTATGTGTAACAATTAAATTGTAATTTTAGAAGAATCATCCTAATACAGGGTCTTGGTAAATAAATACAAGAATTTATAGGTTATATATATTTTTTATTTGAAAACTGTACTTTTAGGAGCTTGTTGTACCATAATGTGTAGAAGGTTTAAACTTTCAACAGCTGTTGATCGAAATTAACCTTGTGCCACATAGAACCCTGTCGTTCTAGGGTAGCGAGGTATTTAGTCGGTTCCAACCATAGATATGTTCCAACCCTTCGCGAAACTTGTAAATATGGGATTTAGCGGCGTGGATAAAAATATTTATACACAAAACCAAATAGAGTAAAAATGTATTATAATAATATCTGTCACTATACAGGGTTTTCCTAAATATCATGTAAGTATATACGAAAGGAGGAAAAATATTTAAAAACTACGAACATTTTTTTAAATTGGCCCTTTTCGTTTTGCGTAGTGTATTAAAATTAAAAGAACAAACGATTTACCTGTAAGGAAGATCGTTCTAAATTATATGAATATATTCGTCCAAATAAATATTTATCGAACACAATTTAAAAGAGTGAACCCAAATTATAGACTCTACGTATTTATTTCATTATATTATTTTGCATGAAAAGAAAATAAGTATAAAAAGATAACCAAAAAAAAAAGTAGAACTTGTAGGGTGGGTGTTTCTGTCATATGGGTTTGGGACCTATCTATTTGGACGAGTATACTTATATAATTTAGATCCAACTTCCTTACAGTAAGTCGTTTGTTCTTCTAATTACATTTTGTATACTCATTCAAATAGATATTATACATGTAAATGTTTAAAGAATTGTCTATTTTTCCTTTTTATGAAAGCATCAATTATACGAGCAAATGTTGCATGTTTAGGGTCCGATTACAATTAGAAGAACACACCTACATCATCATTTGGCAAAGTAATTAATTGGTTATCGCCGTCTAATGGGAGTTTAGTGAAGTGTTAATATTATAGAAATATAGGAAATATTGTTTTACACCTAACAACTTACTTAATTTGTGTTTATTGAAAGTTATAGTAAATATGCATTCGAAATTCGAAGTAACGGTTATGACGTAGCTGTGTTCTTCGAATTGTAATCGGACTCTACCTACAAAATGACGAACAATATAGGTAATACACATTTTAAATAATAACTGGCTTCGTAAATACTTCTAATCAATCAACAGAAAAAATAAAAACAATCAAATCGTATCTTTTAAAAACTTAAATGTAACACTAAAATTTTTTATATATTTGGATATTGAGCCCCTTTCTATAAACCACTGAGGAAGTTGCGTGTCTAGTACTATAAGTATTGAATATCTATATTTATATTAATTCCGCTGACCTATAACACTTGTCTTATCCAGCGGCTTACAGATTGGGCACTTGAAGACTTATAAGATTTTTTAAATGTCATAAAAATCTCCATCCTTTCTTAAAGGGGTTGTAAATGCATTGATCTTCATTTTTTGGACTTTAGAGACCAATTGCAGATGGCGCCAGCACCTTTGCTCTTCTCGCTAAATTACGGAGTCCGTAAATAAAATCTCGGAAATAATCGATTATTCGACAATTACAGGCGGATTTCACCTGATTTTTTTCTGCAAAGTAGCGCTTGGGCTCTCTCAATTGTATAAGCGAATGTTCTGTGCAATTTGAGTTGCAAATTTACCAGAAAATTGCAAAAATTTATTTTTCCTTGTGCCAAGGTCTTGATTCCCGTTGTTTTAGTCTTTGAAAAACTACATTTATTTGGAAGAAATGGTTGGATATAAAACATACATAACGACCTTTAGGGTGTGGTCAACCACTCGAAGTCATCAGAATCATATACATATTCTTAATCGTAAACGATATTCTCGTCGCCTACTCCCTCCCTCCCTTCCCCCTGTCGTCCTTTCTCCCTTTTCCTCCAGCTGTATTTCTGCCTCCGCTTTGCAACCCTTCTGTCTCTTCTTCCACCTCTATTTCTACTTCCACCTCTAATTCTTCCGGGAATATACCTTCATTTCTTTTATAATTTAAACATTGTGTCAACTGACACGAACCACAGATGGACGAGCATTTCAGACCTGCTTTCAAACGTCGCTTTATACTTTTCTATATCAATATGAGCTGTGATCTGATTCAGAAGTGTGGTCTTGAATTCTGTGTTCGAAACAAGTACGATGGTACGCTTCTTTACCAAACTGCTCTTTCTTTTCTCCTTTTCTATCGAAGCAGGTAACTGACAGAACAAACAATTGTTTTTGAAGTCAAAGCCACTATGGGAGCGCTTCTTGTCTCTCCTCAGGCTCGTTAAATGGTTCAACCGTCTTGAAGAATGCTTGTCAGACTCGTTGTACGCGAACTTGGCTCGAGATTTAATAATATAGCGGTCCCTACACTTGTTGTGCATTCGTACAGAGGATTATTTCTGGAGAAATAGGTAAAATTATCGCATGTCTCCTTGCTCACTCGAATCAAATTTTCTAAACCACGAGTAACATTTACTCTTTCATCCACAACACCCTCCTTACAAAGAAAGCATTCTGGAATGGAATCCGCTTCCATTTCAACAACACCAAGAGCTACCAAAAAATAGATGATCCAACCGTTAGAACAATTACACCAAGTTTTTAAAGTTGAGGCAAAATAAAACAAACCTTATTTTCTGCTTCCAACAAAAAAATTCTTGAATATTCTTTCTTGTAGACAAGAATAACGTGAAAATTTCTGACTTTAAACACTTCTTCTTCTTTTTTATAACTGAATTAATTTAATGAAAAATATTTATTTTAATTTAAATAAATAATTCAAAATAAATAATGAAAAAATATCATCAGTACATCAATAATCCAGTCAAGCCGATGAATCCATAACAGAGATTGTATACAAACATAATGCAGACAACTATCGCCGCGTGGTACACGAGGTTAGGTTATATACAATATCATGGATCTCATAGGGGGAACGTAAAAATGAAGTATATAATTGTAACAACCTTTTTAGAACCAAGAACGGATATGGGGATTGACTTACATCAGTGGATCGGTCAGAATACGAGCTTTACTTTGATCTAGTTATTAATCCTCAAAAAATAAAGAGCGGGGAACAAGAAATGGTTAAACAAAAAAAGGCCGGTTTTCACTCGTGTGATCAATTTTCCTCATTTCTTGAAAATTATTAGACTATTAAAATTCGAAAAGAACACCATCCAAGCTTTAAAATGATGTGCATTGGAAATCAATATAACGGATCATAAGATTATAATTCGCGCTTGTTCCGAAGGTTCTATGGAACTCCGAAATCGGCTAAAACATGTAAATAAAGAAATCAATTTTGTATTAAAACCCTAGAAAAGTATTACAAAAAAATTTCTGAGATCATTTAAGACCCCCCAAGGTCCCATTATAAAGGCAAAATTAGAAAAAGTGACTATTTTTAAAGAAAATATGAATAAATTAATGAAGCAGTCTCTAAATATTGTTGAAAAAAACTTTGACCGCTTTTTTAAATATTGTTGGCAAATACGAACTGACTTCATCGAAAACTATAAATTTTTTCCCGAGATATGGAACCATTCGTCCGCCCGCTTACACGTTAATTCATAGAAAGCGGAATCCCTGCAGGTAGAGCAGCAACTGAAATGAGGGGACTTTTAAGTGCCATTATCTCGAAAACTATTGAATTTTTGAAGAAAATGATAGGAGCCATTTTTGTAAATAATGAGCTGATCTTCATTTTTTGTCTGAACAAACATTCTCTAATTGGCATATTCAGTCAGATATTAGCGGCAAACCCATTTTCTAGGTTTTAGGGGTCCATTTTCAGCTTCTTCCGGTACCAAGAACGCGTTAAGGATTTTCTCTTTTAAAAACACCTGCGATGACCTACAAATTGCGCTATGTGGGAACTCATCAGCGAATTTTCTACAGGTTTGACCCTTCAGTTACTGGACTATATGTCTATTTATGTATTTTTTAGTATTCATGTATCATAAACCATCTCAAATAAACCCAAAAGCGTGCATAATTGGGTCTTTATCGCACGCCGTGCGTATAAATGTTGCGAGGTTACCGCTTCAGTAAATAAGATTAGAATATGTCAGATTTTATTTAAATCAAGTAACATGAACAGAAAAATTATTTTAATAATTAAGTGAAATGTCAAATGATATTTACCTACCCACTTAATAAAATGAATGGAAATCATTAATTTGAATTTTTCAGGGTAGGTAAATGTCATTTGACATTTCATTTAATTAACAATTTTAGCTATTCACTTGATGAGACTTAACAGTTTAGTCTCTTAAAACTATTAGGTAATAGTTTTATTTTAGCTTTAACATTTTTAGCTATCTTACTGTCGGTATCAGTATCACTTAAAAATCTTGAATGTGTTTGACGTTTTTGTGGAACACTTTGGTTTTTGCATTCCAATTTTCTCATTAAATGCTTCCTTTTTCTGTTCAAACGATCATTTTCATCTCTACTATCACTAACCCGTTTTTAAGTTTACTTGAGGGAGTACAATAATGTAATGAAATAAATACGTAGGGTCGAGGCAGGTAACGTAGCGGCTGATAAGAGTTTTTTGCCAATTTTTTGTGATTCACTTTTTAATATTGCGCTCGATAAAGTGTAATAATGGTACTACATGTGCAACATCTATTTGGACATTTATTTAATTTATTATTAATCCACAAAATATCATCATCGCTATAGTATTTATTTATTAGACAATGAACTTCATTGACCTACAATCAAATTATTTCAGAAAATATCAAAATTGGTACTGAAATAATTATATAATAAATATTATTTAAGACTGTACGTCTTTTGATTGCCCCTCTACTAACATTAAAGTTGAACTCTGGTGAGCATAGATATCTTCAAGGATACCTACTATCTATATTTCAAATGAAATTTTAACTATTTAACTATCATAATGAATTCACAATGGTGTAAAGATAACAATTTTTTTGAGATAGTTCTTTTTTAGATTTGCCATTAACTGGTCAACAGTCGCCATGCACAGCTCACGCTGCTCTGAAGCAACTCATAGAAAAACTTATCCTGGAAGTTCTAAACATGCCAGCACTTCAAAAACCTCAAAACCAAGCTGCCATACCGCCAGATTTAAATAATAAAACCTATGAAGATCTGTTGGCTACCGCCATCTTAAATAAGGTAAAACACTACTATTGTTACCTATAGTATGTAAGCGATAACGTTGTGTAGTTTCAACGATACTTAAACGGTAGATACTATGTAATTAGGGAAATATGGAAATGGAAACAATTATTATTAAGAAAATGTATACCTAGTTTTGTAATACAACGGTAGAAAAAGGTTTCCATAATAATTTGTAGCTATTATAATCGAATAAAAATGTTTTTCGTATTATAGATTTTCTTACATTTAGAGAGAACAGTGGAAAAGTTAATTTCAAAAAATACTTTTTTAAAATTTAGTTTTTTAATTTTTCTGAAATAGATAACAAATAATCTAATAAATACATTTGTTTCCTCGAGATGGCGTGTAAGTCACTAATCCTCGGAACGCCTGCATCAATATATTCCTATGAAAATGGTAGTAAATGGGAGTTATCAATAAGGTAATGTCATCAAAAACTTGCTGTAGCAAAATATTTAATTCACTCTTTGACTGGCGCAAGTTTTATCCATTACCATTTTAAAATTTGTAACGTGATCTCTAGTTATTCTATCTACTTGTTTAATGTGTTTGAGCTCAATTGATAGGGCGTGGGTTAGGTTATTAAATAACTTTGAAAAAAAGTTGGGCACCACTATATTTAAAGCTTACTACACTTGACTCTAGATTAGTGATAAAAATATAGAAAATCACTAACCACTAATAAATAATATTTAAACTATGCTTTATTGAGAAAGCACTTATCTTTTGGTAAGCCAAGGTAATATACGGAATGTAAATCTATAACATGGTATTTCTTCAGGCAACTTCTACACTGGATTCGGGATCCTTATTCGTAATTCTGCATAATTCTACACGGTGAATGATCTTCAGTATTCGAACATAAACTGTCTAGAGATGAGATCAATACCGTCTAAAGTTTGAACCAAAACCTTCTTGAGATGGAACTAAAACCTTCTAGAGATTAAACCAAAAATAACGTCTAGAGATTAATCCAAAAAACGTATAGCGATAAATCCAAATCACGTCTTGAGATGAATCATAAACGTCTTGAGAGGAATTCAGAACCGTCTTGATATAGCCAAGCTAAAAAAGGGTTAAAATGTTAAGATAGGAAATAGGAAATCTGAACAGGATCCAGATAAAATGCTTTAACTATTAAATGAACAATTTAAAACTATTAATTGAATAATTTCACAGAGACTAAAATTAATATGAAAAGGAAAAATCTTATTTAATATATTTAAACATAGTAAAGCATAATATCTTATCCAATTAAATAATATATAAATTAACCATATGTTATCCATTGTTGATATTGAGGTTATGTTCAAAACTTGAAATCCTTGTACAAAATATATATTTTTAACAATTTATCATTATTAAAACTTACCTTATAAAATCAGACGGATGAAGAATATTAAAAATCATCTAATACTTCAGATTACCGAGATAAATTAAAATAATTGTGATCTATTTGATATCTTCAAATAAAATAATGACATTTGAATAAGAGGTGATTATGTCGAAATAACGGTTACAAATTAGAGGTTACTGTTGTCGATTTCTATACTATAACATTTCGTTTTTCTGACGTATTTCACTTTATTCAGCGATGCACTAAATGTTTTAACCTTATATTTACTTTACTGTTTCTATTGACTCCTTCTACACAATTACATTATTTATACAAAATCATAATAAATCTATCTGCAAAAATTGTTCGAATTCTAATAGAAAAAACACAATGTGTTAAAATTAACAGTACTATAAGCAGGAACAGTTCTTGGTGCTACTCTATTTGTAATATGAACTTCTAGAGAAATAACAAGCTTTAGTGATGATATTGCAAACATATGAAATGAACTAAAACAAAAAATTGAAAAGATTTTAGCAGTATTATAGATGTTTCTACATATAACAGGCTATAAAAATAATCTTCCTAATTACAACAAGCTGAAAATCAATAATTATTGTAACTTTCTAAACAATTAAACATTAAACAAACTGATAAAGTATTTAGGAATAATAGAATAGTTATTAACATTCATCTCCATTGAGCCTATCATACTTTCAGTGTTACAAAAACTCTTAGGTCATTAGTAATGACCTAAGAGTTTTTGTTACTAAGTAAATTTAAACTTTTAGCAAAAATTTTGGACTTACCTTTTCTTAAAATATTATATTATGCATATATACTATGGAATTGAAGGATAGGGAGGAGTAATAAAAGTACTTATCTAAAAAGCCAGAAGTAATGCTATAGAAAAATAGAACTTACCCTTCGAATGCTCTTTATTAAGAGGCAGCAATCATAGATTTAAGACATTTTTCCTGTTTAATTGATGGTTTTATTTTCATTGGAAAGATTACTAGTGTTGTTTTGATGGGATCCCACCTCTTTGTTTTAGTCTTCTTTGGACTATATCACATAGGATCTTACCAAACTTGTCACTAGCAGATGTGACTATCAGTTAATCTGTCCATAAGTTTTTATAGAACTCCTCCTTGTGGACATCCTTGGGTTGTGTAAATGAAGATGGTGAATAGCAGGTGATCCATCTGCTCGATACGCGTGCTGGCTGTGATGGAGTGGCATCTTCTTCCAAGTGTTCTATTCTGATATAATTACGAACAGCCATCTCCATTATTTTTAATACAAAGGATGTGAAGCTGATTGGTCAGAAGAATTCAGATTGTATGGTATCCTTGTTCCCTAATTTTTTAATAATTAGAACCATCCCAGGCAGCATTGAGTTTGTGGGATTTATTTCTGTGTTTATGTAAATTTTGTATTTACCATTCAATAGGAATGTTACTTTTATGTTGAATGGTAATAATTGAAGCAAATAAACCATTATTATTATCAAGCGAAATTTACTATGCCATTTATTATTAACAATTTCAGGCCAAACCTCGTATCCAACCTTTCACGCGATTTCCTAAGGTTTCCTCATTATGTATCTAAGCATTTCTATCTGTCTCAACAAGTATTATTTGCAATTCCCTGATCAATAGAACATATTCATGTACCCCAGAAATGGCTATTGTGTCTCTTATAGGAAAAAAACCAAAAAGAAAATCAAACGTTAATACATATGTTTCTAAAGTAAGTAATACTATAGCATTATTATTAATATTATTATTATAATTTACATTTATAAAAAAATTGAGTATTTCATAAAAGTTTCAGATATTTAATAAGCAGTTTTTCAAATATTTCTCTATATTTAATTTAATTGCTTCAAAAAGTTTAATAATCTCATGTGTATTTTAAAAATAATTTCAATTATACAGGATGCTCTAGGAAAGTGTTACATATCAAAGTTAAGTTTTTTAAAATATATTTTATTGCTTTCTTGGAATCTACAAAGGAAAATAGTATGTAGTGATGATGATGATGTTGATGATGATGATCATAGTGGAGATAATCTCGTTAATTTTGATGCAGGGTTACTGTAATGTTACGTGATATTGGCTGAATCCCTTGATGTCCATCTTCCAATCGTTTTCTTACCGGTTATTTCTATTTATCAAATTTTTGTCTTCTTTGTTTCTTGCCTTGTTCCTTCTGCTCACCACTAACTAATCTTAACAATGTCCTTTGATTCACTTAGTTTGACTTCTATATGCCTAATGTAATTCGTTTTCCATTCCTAAAAAAAAATTAAGTAAACTTTTATTTAATCCATTCAGTTAGCTTTCTTTATTATTTTCATTGAAATGGTAGATATATACGCACTTCGTAGATTAAATTTTGAATAAAAAAAAGTTATATTACTTACAAAAAATAAAAATAAACCTTATGCTTCTGACAAAATTGTTGCTCTTTAACATTGAATGAATTAAATTTAAGCAATAAATAGCAGTACCTAAAATCAAAGAACTATCTTTAAAAGGCATTGTCTTCACTATAACTACTGGTATCATTATTATTGTCTTTTCTGAGGTTTATTATTATAGGATCTATTAAGTTTTCCATTGCTATATCCACTTTCCAAAATTAATTTTCCACCTTTTTAACATGATCAATGCATTTTCTCCAATATTCTCCATTTACATCTAAAACTGTCTTCAAAAACAAATATCGCATTTCAGGTAATTTAAGTATTGTATTGTTTCAAGAAACATAAGCTTTTAATTGTGACCAGATCAGTCCAATGGTAAGGAGGCAAGTCATTTTGAAATATCTTCTTTTTTCTATCTATTTATAGGTAGTAACTTCTTTAATTGACTGTGATAGGATGCATTATCCAAAACGATAACGGAGTTGACTGGAAATTCTTTTATAATGTTCTGAAACCAATTTTCAAACATAGGGCCATCCATTTCTTCATGGTAGTCTTCTGTTTTCTTTGACTCAAATATTAATAAACCATCTGGTAAAAATCCATCGGTGCTTTCAATATGGGTTATTATTAAACGATTTCCTTTTTTTGTTGGATTTTTTAATCCTGAAGAGACCCCTTCCATAAAGGCTTGTCTTTTAGTTTTGATGAAGGTATCTTGCCAAATTTTTGTTATTGTATGTCCAGCATTAACACATGTTTTATCTAAATAAAATACCCGTTTATGCTCATTCCTTGCGTCCGCTATTTTTCTTAAATTATCATGTCTCCACGCAATGATTTTGTCTTTCTCTGTTAAAAAGCTGTTTCTGTCTCATTTTTTGCAGATGAAAATATGATAGAGTGGGGCAATTTTCTATTTGTGAGTGTAATTTTTTAAGTGTAGGAATTTTATTTCGAAAGAAAAAAGAATGTATCATTTGCCGTATTACAATCTTTACCCAAGTTTTAATAAATATCTTGGTTCTTCCTGAGGGCTTTTTCCAATGTGAAACTGCTCCAATAACTGTATCTTCTTTAATAATATTATACACTATCCGCTTAGATACCTACTCTAGCATAGGTCTCACATTTAGTGGCTATTTCATCAACAGAAAGTGAAACAAAGTCATTTCGAAGATTATTAAATACATTAAGTACGACATTTTTTCTTTTAAAGATAATTAT